CCTGCTCAGCGGGGAGCCTGCTTCTCCCTCTCCCACTCCCCCTACTTGTGTTCTCTGTCTCTCATTCTCTCTCGCAAATAAATAAATAAAATCTTTAAAAAAAAAAAAAAGAAGTTAAAAAACTTGCCTGTTAAGGTCACACAGCTGGTAAGCAGCAGAGCGAGAGGTATGACCAGGCATCGGATGCCTTTGTTCCTAACCACTGACCTGTAGTGCTTCTCCCAAATGATGTGTTTCCCGGGATTGTCTGCCTAGCCATGCCACAGAATGGAAAGGGCATTATTGAAAGGTTGTTCTCAATTCGTATGAGCTATTGAAAATCTAAAAGTGTTCTAACAACCTCAGTGTTCAAGTCTGATCTGACCGGAATGGCAGGCTGAACATTCCACAGCAAGTGTTACTTGAAAGATAGAGCTGGTACCTTTGTAACTCACAAGCAGCATGATCGGATCCTTGTCCAGGTAATCAATCTCACTTTCCGTTTGCTTCTTCCAGAGGTCTGGTGACTGAAATGATAGAGCTTTTGCTACAGTACACTGACTCTCCAAAGTAGGCAGCAGTCTGAAATACCCGTTTCTGTGAGGGTCAGATAACCAAATCACTTGGCATCTCTTGAGTACTTGACTAATAGTATGCACACTACAGTCACTGTTCTCTGAGTGATTTCCGTCTTTCTTCACAACAGGCCTAGGAGGCAGGTACGTGTTGGTACTAGTGCCATTTTACAGAAGAGGAAGCACAGGAATTCATAACTGGCCCGTGGTCACACAGCAAGGACGTGGAAAAGTCAGGATTTGAACTCAGGATGTCTGGCTTCAGATCTCCAGCTCTATCACCTCATTATACTGCTTTTCAGAAAAAAGGATAATATGAGGAAAATCATTGAGCAGTTTGATTTGATTTCGTCTTGAGGCAGTGGTAGTTTGAAAATGATTTAAGAAAAGTATTTCAATTTTTTTCATTTTATAAATGCTTGATATAATGCAAGGTTTGTGAGTTTATCACTTGTCTTATAAAGTAGTAATTCCTTTTTATTGAAGTAGACTATCTTTTATATTTCAAATTCTAGTATTTGGGGATTTGGTAAGTATTCGGTCCATCTCTGTCTTTCAAGACTAGATTGCCTTGGTAGTAGAAATATTAAAATAGAGTGGGAGTAATTCAGTACTTCCAAATGTAATTACTAAGTTTCAGATTGCAGGGTTAATGTTTTTTGATTATTTAGGAATTAATTACCCAAGTTGTGAATTATTCCTATTTGTCTATGGCTATTTAATAGTTCAAAGCACTCTTTGTAGAGTAGAGGGAAAGGTGAAATTAATCTAGATCTGTTAGATTGAGGGGGAGGTTAAGCTGATGGAGAGGAAACCTGTGTATTATATCAAGTTATTTCATATTTACATCACAGTACAGTAAGCAGTGAGTACAGGATTAGATAAATGGCAAATATGGAAGTGCTTCAGGGATTGTAGGGAAGGGACAAGTATCGTAGTATTCATAACTCGTCAATAATATCTGCTTCCAGAAATGAGAAAGACAGAGTTAATATCCCCTAATTGCTTTATTTCCCCCCCCCAGTTGCTTAATAAGTCACCTTATTTGCAACCACATCTGAAAGGAAGTAAAACCTGTTGTGTGTTTTTCATGGAAATATGCCAGATATTTTATTTTTTTGAAAGTGCCAGGATAGAGAATAATTAAATCCGAGAAACATCTAATTCATGGAGCTTTAGTCACCATGTAACTTTTCTAGTTTTAAAGATGCTACCAGTTTTTTTTTAAATTTTATTTTTTAAAAAGGGGGGGGCAGGGGAGAGGGAGAGAGAGAATCTCAAGCAGACTCCACACTGAGCCCGATGGGCCCAATCTCACCACCCTGAGATCAGGACCTGAGCTAAAATCAAGAGTCAGATGCTCCCCTGACTGAGCCCCCCACGTGCCCCTAGATGCTATCAGTTTTAAAGTAAAAAATGTGATTTCCTAAGTTTAGATTTGAATCTATTTCAAAGCTTTTATAATTAATTAAAAAAAACCTTTTCATTGGGGAGGTGGAATCATCAGAACATTTCTATGGCAGTAACCACACCCATAAACTAATTAGACTGGGATGGCTGTTCACCACGGGTAGTGTTACAGTTTTTATTAAGATTATCTA